GTGAGTAATTAATGACAGAATTTTCATTTTTGGGTGAACTAACCCTTTAAGCTAAGTTTAATAGTATGCGGTGTTTTTCCCGTAAGTTGGCAACCAAAATCCCTTCACTTTGCAGTGAACTAAAACGTGTTTGATTCTTTATGGGCGTTGGATCATGTGGAGCCTGATTGCAGCTAGGGTTGTAAACAATTCAATTAAATTTTAAACTCTAGAAAAGCATATTTACAGGTATACCAATTCATTTGAAACCATTATGAATAGCTGATCACACTGAAATAACTGGAAAAATGTACGAGTCATATGACGGGAATGCAAAACTACTGACTATTTGTTGATGGATTCTTTCAACAGTAACTAATTACCAGTGAAATGATACTTTTAAACCGTCACAACTGGTATCCAAGTGTTGTTGCCAAAAATGTGCTGAAACAGGGTTGTTTGTTATAATTACCCTGTGATTCTCTTATGTGTTCTGAGTCATGGAATACCTTATGTTGACCTGGAGCGCTGCTGGTCTGCATGCCTGGTCCCTTGACAAGTGCAAACATCACCGCAAAGGAGAGGTATGGAAATGACATAAGCTTTCCTGCAGCCATGGGGATTCCCTAACAAGACACCAACTCATAAAACCCATCAGTTTTTGTGTTGGGGCAGGGTGTGAATGCAAAACACGGGTAGGCTTCAGTGAAGGCGTGCCAAAAGTGTGATATGCAGTCTAATCTTAAAGAAAACAAAGTGACAATAAAAAGAGAGGTGAAAGCAAGCAAACGGTACTCTCGGTCACGGCATGCAATACACACACTTGAACGAACGGCTCTTAGATTACTTCAGTTGTTTCTATGGTGCCCCCTGGGTGCACAAGCAATACACAACACATAAACACATTCCACTGGCTATGCCTCTAGGTTTGGCAGATACATTGCAGATCACTGTAAAGTGACAGGAAACTTCACGGTTTAATGGCTGACGGGTGTCAGTGTGATGTGATTTACGCTTGCTCCAGAAGCCACTGAAAGAGGCTCTTGTGGCCGTTCCTTGTGTCCCCGATCTCTTCCTCAGAGCGACGTTCTTCAAAATATCTCAGAAGAGCCTGGAGGAGGTTGCCGACCCTGAACTCTCTCTCCTTCAGCCTCTGCGCTACGGCCGGCAGCTGGAGCCAGAGAAAAACACACAAAATTAAGCTACAGTTTTGGATCTCAAACATCCTGATAGATAAGTGTTGGGTTATAGAGCTGAAACATGATCCAAAATGTAATTAAAGTAACGCTTTTTAAAGATACTTAATTTTTACCTATGTATTTGCTCTGAAATGGCAGGGTATTTTAAGGTATTTTGTTATTAAAATAGGATTTATTATGTATTACTATATAGCAAAAATTTAAGTTGAAAAGTTCAAATAGTCAAATTTTAAACTGAATTCAAAAATTTGCATCAGCACTCAAAAATGTTCACCTAAGTTCCCATGTGGCATTTTACATATATTAAAATATATATATATATTTTTTAAAACACACACTTTCAAAAGTTAGATTTTTCTGTTATGCTCACTGAGTCTGCATTTATTTTTAAAAAATCATACAAAAAATACCGTAAAACAGTAATATTGTGAAATATTACTAGAATTTAAAATAACTGTTTTGTATTTGAATATATTTTAAAATGTAATTTATTCCTGATTTTTTTCAGCATCATTACTCCAGTCTTCAGTGTCACATGATCCTTCAGAAATCACCCTAATATGCTGATTTGATGTTTAAACATTTCTACTTATTATCAATTATCAAAACTTTTTGTGGAAACTGGTAAGATTTTTTTCAGAATTCTTTGATTCACAGAAAGTTCAAAAGAATATAATTTATTTGTAATAGATTTTTTTTGTAGCATTATAAATGTATTTACTGTCACTTTTGATCAATTTAATGCATCCTT